ATTTGGCACTGTTCTCTGGGATGCCTGAGAAGGAAAATGATCATGGATGCCAGCCTGGAACCACTGGGTGGAATTGCAGCCATCCTAGAGACAAGTACCCTTTCCTGGGAATGGACAGAGATGTCCCAATCATTCATGCTGGTTACAGTTTTACAGCAAAAAGTTGGACTTCAGTCCAACTGATTTACTTCTCAATTCCTACACAACATTTAGTGTGTTGATATGTTTAGAGACATGTTTAAAGATGTTTTTCCTTGAGGCCCCCAGGAAGAAATGCTCCCCCCACTGCCAGCCCTTCCCCTATGACTGGTCATGAGAAGTCTGGATAGGAAGGGGATGCAGAAGGAGGATCAACCTCCTGTGGTTGTCCTGCCAGGGATTACAGTGTGCTTTTGAGCATCAACCTCCAGATCTACATACYTATTCAATATCACTTATTCAGCAGGAAAATCTAAAAAAAATCCCTTTTCTAGTCTAGAGTATTGAACACTTTCCTTGGAGAGCTGAAAATGGCAAAGATTGGTAAATATGAAGCTTGTAAAATGGTCTGTGTTGCACTTCAGACTGGAGTACAACTGGTACAACCTGGAAATAGCAGGACATGCAGGCTCCTGCTCCATCTCCCAGCCCAAGACAGAGCAGGCACAGACAGTGCGAAGGACTCCTAACTGGGATATCCAGGATGTGGGGAGGACAGACCCCATAGCAGACAAAGTGCTGAGATACCCTGTGACCTGCAGTCACACACAGAGGTGTGTGATCCACATCCCATCCCATCCCATCCCATCCCATCCCATCCCATCCCATCCCATCCCATCCCATCCCATCCCATTCCATGCCCTCCATCCCACACTACACTCACCCATGCAGTCTCTGTGGGAGTTCTGCAGAGCACAAAGCTGGGTGGTTCTGGCCTAGACTGGAGGAGTGTCCAGCCTGAAAGTTATAGGGCTGAGCAGGTGAGGGGGTGGAGGCAGGAAACCCAAACCTCAGCACTTGTCCTCRGGTTGGCAACAGGACCAGTGGCTTAGGGCTTATTTGCTCTTCACCATCAAGTGGTCAGTCCTCAGGCAATGAAGTCTGTATGTCACACAGGTGAAGAGCTTTCTTCAGAGGCAAAGCAAATAATTTGGTACCAATACACAAATGCGTTGAAATAACCACCATCTACAGTGCAGGGTTTCCCCAGGGAATGACGTTCTTTGGGGCACCTCCACACAGCTCAACTGGTAAGTAAATAACCAGATGACTTTCACCTCCTGGATGGAAATCAAACATCAGGCTTAAATCACTCTCTTCAAAGTCGACATTGAGCCCAACAGACTTTGGGGACCTTGGGGACACCACAGACCCTTCAGGGAAGAGGTACTCCAATGTTCCTGGGAAACYGTGCACCAAACTTCAGAAAGTGCCACTCCAGTGCTGCCTGACACCCCTGCCCAGCCACCACTACTCTGCACCTTGCACAACACCTGCCGTGGTCCCCCGGGCACCGTGGGGGCCCTCGCAGCGATCACAAGGGAATTTTGGGCATTGTGAAGTGCACTSATGTAAAAAGGTCTCACTTCAAGCCCCCTCTGCTCTAAGAGTACTTACACCATGGATGTTCTACAGAAAATGCAGGGYCTCCCTTTTCCCAGGGATGGATGCCTGCAGTGTTCTGAGTCATGAGGGCTCCCATAGCCCAGCACCCACTATGGGCTGGACAGGCTGGACATTTTGTCACAGTCTGTGTCCTTGCAGTGTGATCACCTGGTCATGAACAGTTCTGTGCCTGCCCTGCTGTGTCTATGCAAGGGCAGGCACTGACCTCAGCAGAGCTTCTCCAACAGCTTCCAGACAGCTTTTCCAGGAGTCTGTAGCCCATGTGAAGATTAGGATGAGAAAAGCAGACAGGGGAAAGGTCATAGGGGGATTTTTTCAAACTCCCAGCTCTATCCTGGGGCCCAGATCCTGTTCAGTGTGTTTCATAGAAACATAGAATTCTGGAAAGTTTTGCGTTGAAAGATTTCTTCAAAGACAATCTTCTATCCCCCTGCCATGGGCAGGGACACCTTCCACTAGATCCTGTTGCTCCAAGCCCTGTCCGATCTGGCCTTGATCAATTATTGATACTGAAAAATCCACAGATCTGTTTGTTGCTGCATCCCAGGCTGCATCTGGAAAAATGCAGCCAGGAGGGTGAGGGAAGGGATTGTTCCAGTAGGACACTTCCAGAGCAGTATTTAATCCTTCCTTGGTCTGACAGGGGTGTGGGGAGGCTGGTGAGGATGGAGGCTGTGTGGGGCTCCCCTGTGCAGAGCAGTGGCTTCAGCTCTGCTAAGAGCACCAGGACAATTGAAGCAGGAGTACGTGGCATATATGGAGAGGCTGAGAAAGATGGGTTTGTCCATCCTGGAGAAGAGAAGGCTGAGATGGGATCTTGTGGCTGCCTAGAACTACCTCATGAGAGGGTGAGGARCAGGTGCAGTCAGGCTCCTGAGATCACGTCTTGCTTTGGACTCTTCATTTCAAGAAACAGACTGGCGCAAGTCTGGAGGCCACAGGAGATCACCAATCTGGTTGGAGTCCTGGAGCTCAGGACATGTCAGGGAAATTGGAGAGAACTGGGCTTGTTCCACCTGGAGAAGAGCAGGCACAGAAAGGGTACTGGTGCTGACAGCAACCATCTTGTGGGAGAACACAGAGAACATGAGCCAAAATTTGCAAGTAGGTCCGTGATGGTGGAATGAGAAACAATGGATCTACGCTGGAACATGGAAATTCAAGTTAGATATAGGGCTTTTCTTTAACATGAGCTTGGTCAATATACTGGAACAGGTGCCCAGAAAGAGGCTGTGGGATCTCTCCTCTTAGAGGTGTTCAAGACTTGACCAGACAAGGACTTGCCTGAGCATGGTTTGKACCAGAYGGCCTCCAGTSYCTCCCAACCTAAATTACTGTCACCCAGAGATTCTGTAACTCTCCTTGGAGGTGCACAGGGAAGCATGAGAGCCAACAGATGCAAGTAAAAGGAAGGGAAATTAGATTTAAATAAATTCAGCCTGAATGTGTTCAAAGACTGAAAAAAGAAGAAGGAAGTTGTGGGACCTCCATACCTTGATGCTCACAACTGACTCAGATGTGATCCTAAACAGCCCATTCAAGTTGTCACTGCTTTGGTGCTGAGGCCAAACCAGAGGCACAGAGAGGTCTCCTGGTTTTGGATGCCCTGTGAGTCTCCAATTCTCTGCAGATCCCCCTCCCCAGCCCTCACATCTCTCTGCTGGGCCCCACACAGCCAGCCCAGCTGGGGAGATTTGCCYTTTCAGGGTTAAGATATCATGGCCCTCGTGGCTGTCCCAGCCAGGACCTTCCCYACAGCCCATGAGGTCAGTTTGAACTCAGCCCTAGACCCCCAGTCCCCATCTGAGCCACATGGCACAAGTCCTGGGCTCCAGTCCCCTCTTTGCCCCTTTTTCTGGATGGATCTCAGACTTACTCTGTGGATGGTTTATTTCCTGGATGCTCTGGTCCCGTCCCTTCAGTAGCACATTCCAGCCCTGCCCTCTGCCCTGTGTCCCYTCATCCATGATCCAGGATCCAGCTGACAGTTTGCCTCACCTGGAGCCCATACTCAGCCCTTTCCACTGTTTTTGGACCTGGCGTGACAGACATCGCCTTCTCAGGTCACCCTTGGCTCCCAACCTCTCACCAAGTTAGWGGGGTGATATCAAAGGGTTCAGATGGAACTTGATCATAGAATCATGGAATTGTTAAAGTTGGAAAAGACCTCTACGATCCGTAAGTCCAACTGTCAACTCAGCATCACTGTGTTCACCAATAAACTATGTCCTCAAGTATCACATCTACATGTTTTTGGAATGTTTCCAGGGATAGTGACTCTACCACTACCCTGGGCAGCCTGTTCCAGTGCTTGACAACCTTTTCCATGAAGAAATTTTTCCTAATATCTAATCTAAAATTCTCCTGGTGCAACTCGAGGCTATTTTCTCTCATCCTGTCAATCCAGGAATATCTTACCAGGGATCTCTTATCTTGGAGAAGTCTGGATGCCATTGTCCATCAAGGTCTGCWAGTGGCATTGTTTGATTCCCACTGTATGGAAAGTTTGGTGTGAATCTCAGCTTAACCCTGGATTGCTATGAACAGCAGGTGTGAAGCTGTGCCATGAAAAAAAAGTTTGATCAGAAACCAACACAGAAGTTAGAAGGCCCACATTTTTATCCTCCTAAATTTTACTTGAAAGTGTGATAGAGCTTCCTAGACCTTCTGTCAGGAAGAACAGCCCTCCCAAAGCATATGTCCTGAGAGCATTTGATCCAGTAGACAGAGAAACTCCTGATTAATATTTCTGGGGCTGAAGATGGATCTGCAGGGACTCACCAGGCCAAAGATGGGKGTTGAGAAAGACAGTGGCAAAGGGACCCCAGGCACCTGTTTTTTACCTGTAGCCTTTGCTCAGAGCATGCAGACTGGGGTGCCAGGGGTCACTGTGGCTCTGGCTGCTGTGCATTGGCTCCAGCCCAATGACTGACCCCAAAATCTGCCAGTGAAGAGTTAGTGAGTGAGCACCTCTCTTGGGGGCCTGTCCTCAACTTTCCAAGATCATGCTTGGTCACATTTTGCTAGTTTCTGTATATCCTTAAAAAGCTGGGCCTCTCCACTTCACTTTGATCGTGGCTTTCCAGAATTTGCTCCAAGTGCRCAATTCACATGTAGTGTTTGTGTAGGGACAGTCAATAATTGCAATCCCTCAGCATGGAGGGGGTAATTCTGTACTTTTCTGGCTGGAAGGACGTGCCTCCCTCCCCTCAGTCGTGCTGTCATGAGATCTGGAAACCGCTTGAGTCGCAATCTGCAAGTGCCTCCTTGTGCCTGTCCAGATGCTGAGTGTGAGCACACGTGGGTGTGTGCAGTGCCTATAAAGGCAGCGTGGGCAGCTCGGCATGGCAGGGTGCACCGCTGGGATCTGCTCTCTGTGCAGCCGTGCTGTCGTCATGGGTGAGTTTCCTGCTCAGGTAAACCTTGCTCCAGTGTGGTGCTGGGCTCAAACGAGACCTCATGGGGTGAGTATGAGAGGCACAGAGAATGATGAGCAGGACAGCAGCTGTGGGAGCAGGAGGGGTGCCAGAGCAAAGCACCGAAGAACACACAYGCTTGGGGTCAGCCTGTGCCTGCCCCAGGCTGTCTGTGCCATGTGTTCCAACATCCTGTCAAGGGAAGTTAATGTGGAGACCTAAGCTTCACCTTGGTCCTTTCCCYACTTGACCAATGCATGTGGCATGTGTGGTTGCTCAGGGATCCTGCCCCAGGCATGGTGGCATCTCCCCCAGGAGCTGAGTGGGTGCAGGGAGGTGCTGTTGGTCAGCACAGCGGGTTTGGGCTCATATCCCTGTGTGGGCCAGGAGATTTCCTCTTGTCTTCTTGGGAGCAGTGCAGAAGGACCCATCCTCTGGGGTAGTTTCCTTCTAGCTGTCATTGGGCTGGAGAGGTTTATATGAAAGACTTAAGCATGATTACTCCAAAAAGAGCTGATTCTTGTGATCTCCCTCCCGGCAAACTACTGCTCCCATATTCAACTCTGTCACTGCCCTCTCTTTGCTCTCTTGGGCTGTAGGTTCTGAGAACAAACTGCAGGTGGCTGTGTGGTGCAGGGAAGGGGCTGATCAGGAGGTGACAGAGTCATTTTTCACCTTGCTTTAGCCTTGAAGGGCAGACCCTGTCCTGAAGCTGCAGCTTTCACTACCCTGGGAATCCTTTGCCCGTAACTGTGCCCTG